GACCTACGCTGCTTGCGTCAGTATGTACTTCTGTCTCGGCGAATTCGTCGAAATGGGCAAGTAACGGAGGCGTCTGGAGGCGATGTTTAAGCTCCTTGAAAACGTGTTCCTGTGGCGTTTCCCACTTGAATTCCACGTCAGCCTTGGTAAGGTTAGTGAGAGGATCGGCGATGCGGGCGAAGTTTTTTACGAACCGCCTATAATAGACGCACAGGCCCAGAAATCGGCGCACGGCCTTCTTGTCAGTGGGCGGCGGGAAGTCGGCGATGGCGGCTGTTTTCCGTGGATCGGGACGAACTTCGGACTTGCTGATAACGTGCCCCAGAAACAAGAGCTCCTCATACGTAAATCTGCGCTTTTCTGGCTTCAGTGTGAGTCCGGACGTCTTGATGGCTTGAAGTACAATTTCAAGGCGCCGAAGATGCTCGTTGAAACTCGAGGAAAACACGACGACGTCTTCCAAGTACACACGGCAAGTCTGCCACTTCAATCCTGCCAGTACTGTATCCATAACGCGTTGAAAAGTTGCAGGCGCTGAGCAAAGGCCGAAGGGCATCACCTTAAACTCGAAGAGGCCGTCCGGTGTTATAAACGCCGTCTTCTCTCGCTCTGTTTCGATTTGCCAATAGCCAGTCTTGAGGTCCATTGACGAAAAGTACTTGGCGTTATGAAGCCGATCAAGTGCGTCGTCTATTCGTGGGAGAGGATACACGTCCTTTCTTGTGATTTTGTTCAGGCGGCGATAATCGACGCAGAAACGTAGGGTCCCATTCTTTTTCTTCACTAACACCACGGGGGATGCCCATGGGCTTTTGGACGGCTGGATAATGTCATCCCGCAGCATTTCATCAACTTGTGTCTTCATGGCCTCACGTTCTCGCGTCGAAACCCTGTACGGACTCTGACGGAGTGGTCTGGCATTTTCTTCGGTTATGATGCGATGTTTCGTGATTGGGGTCTGCCGAATTTTCAATGACGACGAAAAGCAATCTTCGTATTGCAGGAGCAGGGCCTTGAGCTGTTCTTGCTTATCGTTCGGAAGTCTGGGATTGACGTCGAAAGCTATGGGAGGGGCTTGGTTCCTCCGAGCAGGTTCCGCAGAATCGGCGAGGGCGAAAGCACTGGTGGCTTCGACAATTTCTTCCATGTATGCGACCGTTGTTCCTTTGTTCACATGTTTGTACCCATTGCTGAAATTCGTGAGCATAACCGTTGCTTTGCCTCCCCGCAGCTCTGCAATTCCTCTTGCGACGCAAATATTTCGGGTGACCAACAGATGCTGACTGCCTTCAACGATGCCTTCCAAGTCAGGCGATTTAGGAGCGCCGACTGAAATAATGACGCTTGAGCGAGGCGGAATGGTGACTTGTTCTTCCAGCACATTCAAGGCATGGTGTCCTGACAGCGTGCGCGGCGGTAGTGCTTCTTCTGTGGATAACGTTATTGACATTGTTTTTAGGTTGATGACAGCACCATGGAGGCATAAGAAGTTCATGCCAAGGATGACATCTCTCGAGCAACGCTGTAGGACTACAAAGTCTGTAGGATAAATACGGCCGTTATTGGTGACTCTCGCTGTGCAGATTCCTGCAGGCGTTACGAGATGACCTCCAGCTGTGCGGATTTTAGGGCCTTTCCAAGCTGTCCTAACTTTCTTTAACTTCGCGGCGAACGACCCACTGATGACAGAATAGTCAGCTCCAGTATCGACGAGAGCGTTCACGCTGTGGCCATCGATAAGAACGTCGAGGTCGCTAGTTCGCCGTCTCGCATTACAGTTAGGGCGTGGCGTCAGGTCACGGCTGCGTCGGCTTGTTCCGCTGCTTCCATGTTGCGTCGTCAGGCCACCTTCGGTAAGTGAGCTTTCGCCGTCATGGCTTTGCCTGGTTGGCGTTGTGTTCGGAAAGCTCCATCGCGGTGTCGTCGTCGTCGGAGGATCTTCGGTAGTTCGTCGCATAGCAACCGCACCTCCACTGGTTGCTGCCCTTAGTTTCCCGGATACGGGCTAGGAGACCGGCCCCGCGTTGGGCCGGAGTACTGCCGGGGGTGCGGTGACATGCGGCGGCCGGGCGACGGCGAACGGGAAGGACTTCGTCGTGTCCATTGAGATCCTGTCAGGTAGTCGGCGATGTCACGTGGCCGTTCCCCCGGCTGCGGACGTGGCGCATCGACGGCGAAGCCAAGCAGTCCCATCTGTCGGTACTGGAAACGGCGGTAAGTGTGCTCGGCCTCGCCGCAGTGGTAGCACAGTGGGCGGTGGTCAGGGGTGCGCCAAACGTCGGTTTTCCTCGGCGCATTGCGCTGGCCCGCTGGCGAACGGTAGGTCGTTGGTGGGGGTGGTGGCGGCGGTGGTGTCTGGCGACGGAAGTGCGACGGGGCGGCGTTTCGGCGTGGGCGGGGAGAAGCTTTGTGGCGCACTGCAGCGGCGTAGCTCATAGTTTCTGGCTCGGGCAGCGGTGTTTGGGGAATTCGAAGCGATTGCCGAACTTCTCGCACAATGTCGGCGATCGAATCCACTTGAGGTTGCGCCGAAGGCAACAGTTTGCGCAGCTCTTCCCGCACGATCGCTCGGATCGTTTCACGCAGGTTGTCGGAGTCACTGGCTTGAGCAGCAGCGCATTCTGGAGTCAGGCGACGATTATCTTGTCTGGTGCGCATGTCCAGGGTTTTTTCGATGGTGGTCGCCTCGGATACAAATTCTTGGACTGCGTTCGGTGGATTCCTCATTAGTCTCGCGAAGAGGTCTTGTTTGATGTCTCGCATGAGGAAACGAACTTTATCCTCCTCAAGCATGTCTGGATCAGTGTGACGAAATAGGCGGGTCATTTCCTCTGTAAAAATTCCAACCTTTTCATTTGGTAGCTGAACCCGAGTCTCAAGTAGAGCAGCGGCCCTCTCTTTGCGAGCGCGCTCGCGAACGTTTGCAGAAATGCGCCGCAAAAGACATCCCACGTTCGGAGCGCGGACTCCCGATTCTCTAGCCAGGTCCTTGCAGTGTCTTCTAGGTAGAAGTACACACGACGGAGCTTTTCTTCGTTGTCCCAGTGGTTGAGGGTGGCCACACGGTCGTATGTTTCTAGCCAGGTTTCCGGGTCTTCAAACGATGACGCATGAAACGTTGGTGGTTCCCTGGGTTGATGAATGACGATCGCGGGCTGGGACGCTCCGGTTGTCATAGTCGCTGCAGTAGAGGTCATGGTCTTGGCTTTCCGCGCCTTGTCTTGTAGAAGCCCGTATTCCGGTGGGAGACCTTGCTGTCGGCGGCTTGTTCGCTGCTCCTGGTTGGCGTCGGTGTCTTCTCCGCGACGTGGGCTGGGTTCACGGCTTGACGGGGGCGTCCGGTACATGAACAAAGCAGCACCTCCACCAGATGTCACGGGCTCGTGACGTGGCTGAAGACAGGAGACTTCGTGTTGGGATTTAACTGTTTATTTGGGCGAACCTGTGCCCAGTAAAGGGAAAGTCCGATTACAGCAGCAGTCTTGCGCAGATAGCAGTCTCGGACTGATAGCGGCGAACAGAGCGTCGGCCTTCGTTCAACAAGTGACATCCGGCGAAGCGCGTCGGCATTTATACTCTTGCTATCGAATGTTCCAGCGTTATCGCTGGTCGTGGCGTAGGTTCCAGAACAATCTGTACCGTTCGCACAGTGGGCGTGATCTTATCGAAACGATCTACTACAGTCCGGAACCTTCTCGAAAACTGCAGGCGCTGTTTGCGCTCAGAATCGTGTGGTGTTTTGGGACGATAACGAAAACTTGGGAAATGGAACGTGTCAATATGTTTCCCAGCGTGCTTCGCTAGCTGGTGTCCAATACGAATGGCATAGATGAGGGAAAATTGACAAACGCGAACTGTGTTTCGGGATGAACCATATTGGTAAAATTGATATGAAGGAAAATAAGCCAGATCAATCGAAAAAAAATAAAAGAGGCTGGTTCTAAGGATGGTGCATGGTAAAACAACGCATCACCCTTGACTTGAACCTGCTTACACAGAGCATTTCCTACTTCGGATTCAACGTGCAACAACTTCAGCATATTCGTGTGGCCACGAATGCGAGGTTACATATATCACCTCTTCTTCAACTGTCAGGAGCACGATGCTCACAGACGGAGACTCGAATGACAACTGCATTTGCTCGATTCCTATCGAACGTCTACATTGGTGAAAATCGTAGGTCGATGGTCGTCCAGAACAAATCGTCAATCAATTAAGGCGCTGTATTATTTACAATTATTACAAAGATTGGTGACCTGTTCTAAGCGGACTAAGTTGAAAGTTAGCGTGGCGGCTACGCGTTTGTTCCGTACAAATGAGAACTTTTGAACTCACCTATGTAGGACTATTTGTATATGTCCTATTTTGTTGTTTATTTCTCTTTTGTAACAATCAAGTGGGAAGGCATAGCCCTCACCAATTAACGGTGACTGCAACTATTTTTCATTTTAATAAAAAATCACATGGTTAAACCTTCCCCGTTGTTCCAAGCGCGTCGCACCTTAGTACAGCTACCTCAATCCCGTGAACACACTGGTTGGCATTTACATTATCTGGCACTAAACATAGCACACCATCTAACATTTATTAAAAGTAAACGAACAATAACAATGTGTCGTTTTACACCTCAGAAGCACGATATTATGAGGGGCGCCGTCAAGTAAAGTTCCGAATATTTCAGCCATTTGGTGTCCTTAAACATGCAGTCAGATTGCATAGTAAATAATCTACCATTTGACCTCATCGAAATGCCACCGCAGTGGCCCAGGTTGAACCCACGACCTTTGGGCTAGCAGCCGAGAACCCTAGCCACTGATCCGCCGAAGTGGAAACAAAGTTTAACCAGCACTAGCTGCTCTTGCACTGTTGTTTTAGTGAACTCGGATCAAGCTGAAGATGTTCGCTTAGAGCGATGTTAAAACGAGCAGCTACTGGAACGGTACACAGTTGATCCTACACAACCCCTTATAATTTCCAAATAGAAACAAAAGCATGCAAACCTGTGCGTTTTCAGCAAGAGATGAACCAGTAGAGACACTCGAAGCACGTGTTCCAGAGGCGTCGGAGTGAGATCTATCGCGGCGTATCCTTGCAGCCTGAACTCGCCCCACCTGAACTCGACTAGCTGAAGTAAGCCAGTAGCGAGTAAGGTGTTCCACCGATCCAGCTTGTCAAAGAGCCAGCAGCGTTTTTCCTTGGGCTCCCATGTGCAGGAACGTCCGTAGTCCTCTCCAACTTTAGTGACCACATCAGCAGCACCAGAGGTGGTGTCACCCTCGTTGGCGCTTTCATCTTCATGCTCTTCAGCTATGGACCACTTGCGACTGCGACCCTGGCTGCGACCCCGCCGGGCTGTAAAGGTGGAAGCATCACGGCAAAGAAATGAAGCAGTACGGACCAATTCAAAACCTTTTAGCCTTTTATCAAGACTTTTAGCAAGACATTTAGCCTTTTAGCAAAACCTTTTAGCAAGACTAAGCAGAACAGCTTGGCAAGTTGGTGGACATCGAAGGAGTACATGTCAGCGCTGATAATATGAATCGCAAAAGGAAGCAAGAAGCATTTATCTCTAGATGGTACGACACACTGCCATTATTTTCTTGTTTGCGCCAACATGTATGCCATGAAGGGGTCCTGATACCTAACCAAACATTTGGAGTTTAAAGCGAAAACTTGAAGGAGAGCATCTTTGATGCCTATTCACCTTTTCTTTGGTTGATTGATATGTGGAGTTTAACGTCCCAAAACCACCATTTGATTATGAGAGACGCCGTAGTGGAGGGCTCCGGAAGTTTCAACCACCTGGGGTTCTTTAACGTGCACACAAATCACCTTTTCTTTGGTGTCAACGTAGCAATAGCAGTAGCACGTTCTGCTTCGAAAAAAACTTCTTGTTACTTAATTTATGACTCCCTAACGCTGAAGCAGAAAACTTAGTTGTACCAGAGTAAGGAAAAACTTTTTCCGCTTTTTGGCAGAAGGAAGGCGCTTAAAGTTTACGGCTAACATCTATAATGCTGTGTGTAGCTTAGAAGTACATGAATTTAAATTATTTGGGCAGGCAAAGGCAAGAAAAGTGTTGAAAATAAGCGGGCTACTCATTATAGCATTCTTTCCCCGCCAGTGCTTCTAGGCTATCAGAAAGAACAATTGGGTAAGTTGGTGCCCTCCCATCTTAAACGAATAATAGCGCGACAAAAACAGGGACGGGAAACAAAAGGCACACTACAACGCTTCTACGCTACGCTGGTGCACAAAACCGAAAGCCATTCAGCAACTCTGTAAACAGCGAAAGGGTCTGTAAAGGTGAAAGTAGGTCGTGAAAGAACAGTTCAGTGCAGAACAAGCCCTAGAAGTGACCGGCTGTACACCACCAGTGACCACAACTTTGACATGGTGTCCATTTGTTCATGCGCTGCACAGAGTGGAGCCGTCGTCTGCTACTGAAGGTATAGCTGCTGCAAAACGGTTAATTTCAGGGCCTAACTTAAAAAGGGTAAAATATCTTGATCTCACGAGCAGCTCACCATGAAACTATCTTTCTTAGTTATTCAGACGCTGTTACAGCCAGCTCCTTTTAACGTCACGACTCAGAAGTCCGCCAGTATCATAAAAAATACAGAAGTGCGCCAGTGTATAAAACTATTCAATCAGAAGTAACTTCTCTCCTAAGCGCGCTCAGACTTCCCCAGCTAATATGTGGATGCTCCAGCACGAACCCACATGACACAGTTGACAGTTTGTGGCATGGCCCCTTCACATATCATTTCGCATTTTGGAGTACTAGCTAGAACTTTAGTGAATACGGCACCCCGAAAGCATCATGCTTGGTAGTCTTTTTGGAAAACTTAACACCAATAGCACAATGCTTATGTGATAGCCACCATGTTTATGCGTTTCTCGACTGTGCCGTGTACATAACGCTGACAGCGACTTTAAAGGTTGCTCCGTTTTTCATATCGGGATTTAAAATTTGCGTGCGCATAACGCCACAATGGGAAGTGATGTCCACAAAAGACTACACACGAAGCAACACAGACGAAGCGAAAACTAACAACTAAGATTGGTAGTTTCAAATCGGTCTGTTTTTATTCTTGTATCTTCTCTTTTGTGCGCATAACTACCCACTCGAACGCAAGATGATTAATGAACAAGCTCAAGTTTAAAATCTACTGAAGTGCAATATGCCCACGGTCAACCAAAGCGTCTATAGTAATTATGTGGAAGCCCGTAAAAGCTTACTTCTCAACGTGACATTGATTACGACTGCGGCACTTAACGAATGTGCACTAGGCTGTTGAGTTACAAGACGACTGAAGCTAGATTCTAGTGGAGAAAATCAGCCTATTCACGGAGTGATTGATGATGAGTGCGGCGAAGCGCTGGAGGGTTTCATCTAACTGTGAACCATCCGCGAATACTTCCCACTACATCATCAAAGACGTGACAAACACTGTATGTATTTATAGAAAAAAATGTATTATTCATAAGTGGCAGATACAGGTCACTTCCGTTCCCTCTTCATTACAACGGCTTTATGGTCGGTGAAGTGGGGATCAGTGATGGAGCATATTGGGATGTTTGCAAGGACGTAGTAGTGGGCAGTTTGCGTAGGGGGAACTATAGGCGGTTTCGTACAAACAAAGGATGGACACCGTGGGATAATCCATGGTTCTTTAACGCGCACCTGGATACAAGCACATGACTATCTTGCATTTCATATTGCCTCTTTCTCAACAATATTTGCTTTATGAGCTGTTAATTGGTCGATCGGTGATGGAGCGTAGCGGGATGTTTGCCAGGACGAAGTAGTGGGCAGATGGCAAAGATGAAACTATAGGTGGCATCCTAAATACGTACAAGGGACGGACAGACCCGCACCTTTAGGAACTTCGCCCTCTAAAATAAAGAGGGAGCAGAAATGGAAGACAGTTGCGACTTGGCATAGATGTATATCCTGCCATAGACGTAGTCAAGGCAAACTCTTTGGATATTAGCGCCTTCCATAGCTCTCCGAAGCAGTGACCTTCAGAAGAGTTGACGTTTTTCTTTGAGAGGTTATATTTTTGTGGCAATTCAATAGTAAGCAAAAAGCAACATGCAGTGGTCCATCCCATGAAGTAAAGGGAAGGGATGTGCGTTACACTCTTAGATTACCCACTTTCATTATTCCTGCTTAAGTCAGGTTGTTTCTGTTGCATTTGTCACCGGATTCAGAAACCTCCAGGATTGCCTGATTGGACACTCAATGAGCGTAGCTACAAAGCGCAAGCTATCACGCTCGCTTTAGAGTTTGTTAAAGGGACATAGCTACCATTTCTCTTCCGTCGAAATGTCGTCGCTGGAGCCTTAAACCGGGCACGCCCCTTCAAGCAGTGTAACTCCCGTAACAGCTAATGAAATGACGGCTGGTGTCGAGCAGAGCAAGATTGTTCAGACGCGTGCATCGCCGACATGAACAAGTATATCCGTTATTAAAAAATGCAGTCGGCAAAACCATTACCTGTGAACTTCTGGGTGACACGTTTTCTTGAAGAGCGGGGGGTTCGTCCGCGGGATGTTGACGGAGCGTCAATTGGGATGGAAGGCTCAGGTGAAGCGGGAGGCTCGGCTGGGACGAGAGGCTGTGTTATACCGAGTCCCAAAACGTCCCGAAACTCTTGGTTGAAAATGTCGCTGACCTGTTCCAGCGTTGGTCGCGTCCACGTGCAGAGAGTCCGCAGCGACGCCATGTACTCCGGCGTCAGAATACCGGCTTCCTGTTCTGCCGGCTCCGCTGCGGTGGCCATGTTCTACAACGTGAGCGTTGGAGAGAACGTTTGTTAGTGCTAACCGTTGGACAAGAAGCGCACATTCAAATAATATTAGACTGCTACATATTATAACAGTACCGCGAATATCTACATAGGAAGCCAATGTAGGCTGGTAAAGCCAACATCAGCAAGACAAACGGGTAGTTAAAATCCAAGGTTAAGAGAGAGAGAGAGAGAGAGAGAGATAAAGATGCAGGAAGGCAGGGAGGTTAACCAGACGCGCATCCGGTTTGCTACCCTGCACTGGGGAAGGGATAAAACTCGCTGAACTTTCACCTACCTTTCTGCTGCGCCTTCAGTACAATCGTGGTCTTTGATTTGGTCCACAGTGTTGAAAAGAACACATGCTCTTGATGTGTATGCATGCACACAAACGTCATTTCCCTCCCCTTTCCCCTGCAAGTGACGTAATGTCGGCAGAAGAATTTCAGAGAGTTGGCATGGTCGATATTTCGTGTGAAGTAGCGCGAAAAGTAACTTAATGTATTAAGAAACAAAACGGCGCTGTCAGGGCAAATTACGTCCTGCCTTGCATCACCACATCACGATGAATCACGGACAATTTATTCTTGCTGAAAAAGACTGCCTTTTTTATTAGATTGCATAGAACGTGTTTGGCTGGCGTGTATATATATATATATATATATATATATATATATATATATATATATATATGTGTGTGTGTGTGTGTGTGTGTGTGTGTGTGTGTGTGTGTGTGTGTGTGTGTGTGTGTGTGTGTGTGTGTGTGTGTGTGTGAAGAATGATCGCGGTTCTGTGGCCACCATGCAGGGTGAGGCATGCGCAGGTAAAATATATTGCACTGCACCTGCCATTCAGAACATCGCGCACCAAATGAGCTGTAAATGCGCACTTCCAAGTGTGGCGCAAGAATTTTCCTTTGTGGTGTAATTGGAGGGGGGGGGGAGTTATCCCACACTGGCGTAGCACAATACACGGGCCATCATTTCGCCTCTATCAAAATAGGACCGCCGAAGCCGGGATTGACGCCGCGAGCTTCGGGTTGGTAGCCGAGCAACGCAACCGCTACACCACCGCGGCTGACTATCGCAAGTTCAATTAGCAGCCGGCTACTTCAGCATCGAACGTAGCGTAATGCAGTAAGCGTTGGCCCAAGAAATCGCGGTAGCATCATGCGAAACAGCTTTCGTGGTGTCTGTCGCGTCTACGCGAAGTGAGCAGTGCGAACACCGAAAATACCAAGGTAAGTATGAGCTGTATGCATAGCCCCGTGATGATCAAGCACCAATGACCATGCCCAGCCATTCAAAGTATGCAGTTACTACGGCAGCCGTACATGTTAGCGATGGGCATGGCTAGTACGTTTGACCTCGTCGCAAACACAATGCTACGGTAAACCCAATAGACGACGCAAACGGTAGGTCAGAGTGTGCACAAACATTGGACCATGAGGGTGACCTTCACGTCTGTTTCACTGGCACGAGAAAAGGTGTGCACAAAGCTATCCTAAAGCCTCAACATAGTGTTATTTCTCCTGAAACGTGGTAACCCTCTCTGCTGGACGTGGCCACATATACGTAATGCTTACCGTTTCAGTTGCGGTGCCAAGCACCAATGCGGCGTGACTCTGTTGCCTTCCTAACGCAGAAACCGAAATGCAAAACTCCAGCAGCGATTGGCACCACAGTTCAAGTTACTATAATATGGGCGTTGACCGAGTATAAATGTGACGCCCTACTGACGTCAACGCTCCTCTTATCTTGCGTCGAAACAAGCGCAACTTTTGCCGATACGATACAGAAGGGGAAGCATGCGCAACGATTTACCAGATGAGCAGCTCAGACAGTGCGAGTTCTGTACCTGATTTGATTCAGTGCTATAATTAACCTTGTGTACTAAGAGCCCGTAGTTGTCGTTGTTTATTAAAATCCACTCTGGTTCACAGAACACGAAGGGGAGAGCCCCAGTTGTAAGCAGTTTCCCGAGCTCTCCAGCACGGCCTGTAGAATAGCTTTTATAATACCAGACATTATAATCGAAGTGTTCAAGAAGCTACAAGCCACCAAAGGCACTTACCTCGTACAAACGTGCCTCTGTGAGGACTTCTTCAGTTAGGATTTCCTTGTTAAGATATGTTTGTGAGGACTTATAAAAATATTCACCGCTATAGCTCTTGCTTAGGGACCGAGTGCACCAGTTTGCATTAGGTTTCGCCAACTCTTCTCGCTCCACTATCACGGAAAAATGTATTTGACGATCGCCATGCTCGTAGTTTCACCAGAGACGGATTCAGCCACTCGTTTTAGGGGGGGGGGGGGGAGGATGGTTGCTTGAAGTAGCGTTGGAAAGTGGGGGCGTGGTGATCACTATTTGTTTTAAATAGCAGAAAAACTTCTTCATAGCATGAAGACCGTTAATGTGTCCTTTAAGCAGTCCCACTCACTTGTCCTAATGGGACCCCAATACCGCACTTCCACTCTGGACTCGTCACTACGTTGCACATGTTATACTGATGAATACAACACGATACTAGGCTTTGAAATCATGCCGTGCGTACGTAAATGATAAGTTCTGATCGCTATATCAACGCCCTGACCCGGTTCTTGTCTTACACAACAGGTATATTCCTGTAAAACATTAACCCTCTTTCGGTACGTCTTACTTAGCTTTTCGAGATCGAGCGCACAGTAACACCAGATGCTTGACTTTAGCCGTACACATATGCTAGCTATGCACTCCTTTTGGTAATAATGAAATAGAGGGAATACATCTGTCGCCATTTTGAAATGCGAAGCACTTCTTAGTGAACTTCGGCGTCTTTGAGCATATCTATCTACCTAGCTATATATAGATATATCTATCTAGCCGCTTATGTTTGGCTGCTCTCGTGATCACCACCTTAACTTGGCGTGAATTAAAGTCATCATAGGAGGGTAAGACGGTTTTACGAAAATGACGCCCTGATCAAAACATGAATCATGTCGCATTCGCGTCGCGTACGTGGTCAAACACTTAGTGCCAGAAATGGCACATACCCACAGGCAAGTATGTGCCACTGTTATGCATGCATGTGCCACAGGTGATTGAAAGTTAGCATCTAACGAGGAACAACGAGACCACACATGCGCAATTTTAACGCGCGAGCGTAAAAAACACGTGACATTGGTAGCGTCAGCCCAACGAAGGCAAGTAATAAATGTCATGGTCTAAGGTGGAATCGAACGCAAGGATTCTGCGTGACAATGAAGCATACTACCACAGAGCTACGCCAGGTCTCAGAACTACTTTTCAAATAGACGCTAATATTCGAGAAACATCAATATTGGTAGCAGTGCTGCCTACCCTGTTTTATAAACATTGCATAAGTACTCTTTTGACAGAGCCATTTCGTCGAGTTAACGTCAATTTTGGTTAGGTGCCATGCGCTGGAGTTGATTTATGTAGCATTGTCCAGGGTCAGCATCCTCGTGAGCATCAGGGCTTCATATCAGCTTTATGGTGTCGCTAATACGCATGTTCTTGTTGGCATCGTTGCGTAAGTGCCAAGAACTGGTTATATAAAGATCTGCAACTCTTCAACAAATGCTTGTGCGTGCGACATTTGTACATATATTTAGCATCATTTCAAGACGTGTCACTCAATAAAATATTGTTTCTCGCTCACCTTCCCTCCACATGCTTCGCATAACGTCAATGGCCAAGATACGTGAGATGTGCCGAAGTTATATTTATCATGTCAGTGTGATATAGTAGAAAATTGGCCCCGTATCTGCAGGTAATCTGCAAATGTCGTCAAAACACGATAGTCTTGCTTGTGGAGAGAGTGAACAAGACATTTATTTGATGTTCTGCGCAACAAAATCGGTGAGTGGTGTTCTGTAGGCGCTGCGTTAGAGTGCCTCGAGCGTGCAGCGGAGGCGAACAAGTGCATCAAGTTACGTCACATGCGAGACATAAGCGCCATCTGGCAGTTGTCTAAAAAATAAAACGCGTGGCTCTGAGACGGGTGTGCGCGCCCATCTCAGAGGTGATAAGGTGTAGAACGCAAGGCGACGGGTAGGTGCCAGCACCGTTCCGTTTTCGCAAAGCGTTGGAAACACTCGTTTTTTCCGTGCAGGTGTTGCATGGTCAGCGCAGCGTGATAAGCGCTACGGTCCTTAAAATTACTTATGTATGCCTTTTCTAGCAAGAGACGCACATGCAGATTATATACGTTTTGTTATGGTGCCCCAGACATGCCCAATCATTTATTTAAATTGACAATTTCACAAGCATGACCGCTCAACCTTGAGCAACATAGGTGGGCGCTGTAGATGAGGTCAGCCGTTTCAAGTACCCGATGATGTTAAGAGTGGACAAATGGATACATGTTTAGACAGACAGACAGACAGACAGACAGACAGACAGACAGACAGACAGACAGACAGACAGACAGACAGACAGACAGACAGACAGACAGACAGACAGACAGACCAAAATTTTGCGTTGAAGGTCTCCAAGAAAGACTATCTTCTTTAAAAACGCAACCGAAACTATGCGATTGCCATGAAATGAAGGACGTAAGGAAGAGCACACGTCATTAGCGGTTAAAGAGCGCGTGACAGCTTTTGAGGCAGAGGGGCTTCTCCTCTGGGTCAGAGCTACGGGAGCGTCTGCTTAGCAGCCTGCGAATTCTTGAAAACACAAGGAAGTTTGCTTGTTAGGTTTTTAATAAATAAATTCGGGTTCCTTGGAACTATCTCTCATATGTTTATTTGAGTTATGAGTTTTTAGCAACCTTACAATTCGGCGTAATTACTTCCTCTATACTTTCCTTGTCCTAGGCATTATTGTCTGTTAGGTATCGTTAATATTGTGTCAAACAAGGAAAAATGAGCCCTTAAGTATACACGTCTTTCTTTTATTTTATATATCTATAAAGGAAAGAAGTGTATACCTAAGGGCTCATTTTTCGGTGTATTAACACAATATTAATGAGATCTAACAGACAGTAATGCCAAGGAATGTACAGGGGAAGTTATTAGAACCAATGGAATGTAAATAAGAAGAAAAGTGGATGAAAAATAACCAGCCGTGAGCAGGAATCGAACTTACGACCTTCGAATAACGCGTTTGATGCTCTAACCACTGAGCTACCACAGCGGCCTTCCCTCCATCCACTTTTTTGGGTTTTTATATGTGAATTTAGAAGTAGGAGTGACAGTCAGCGCCATCTATAAGCCAAGCGACGAGTGTTTTTCTTCTTCTTATTTACATTCTTCTTTCTTTCTTCTTATTTACATTCCATTGGTTCTAATAACTTCCCCTGTACATTCCTTGGCATTGCTGTCTGTTAGATCTCATATATATATGGTGCTCATATATCTCATATATATATATATATATATATATATATATATATATATATATATATATATATATATATATATATATATATATATATATATATATATATATAACGCCCCATGATGCACCAGGCTAATAACGCAGGTTTATCATTACTGTCAATGATATCTAACAGACAATAATGCCAAAGAATGTATAAGATAAACTATTACACCAATTGCAATGTAAAAGTGAAGAAAGAAAAGTGGGTGGAAAGATAACTTGCTGTGAGCAGGAACCCAACCTTCGACCTTCGAAAGCGTTATTCGAAGTCGGTCAAGTCACTCGTTTCTTAAATTATGTGTGATTTTCCGTACGTCCTAAAATCGGCATCATGTTATTTCGCGCCTTAGAGCGTGGTGTCAAATGTCCCCACACACCAGTGGTACACTTGTCCACCGAAGTGGTGTAACGGCCACGATGTTCGTTTACTGGTCCGAAGGCTGCGGGTGCTACACCGGCCCGGCAGTCACATTTTGATGGAGGCGAAATGGTATTGGTCTGGGTACTCTGCGATGTCAGCACACAATAATTAAAACCATATGGTTGAAATATCCGGAGCCCTTCACAATGGCATCTCTACACATTATGACGAATTTGGCACTCAAAGCCTACTATATTAATATTATTAGTGTTAAATGAACTTTTGACAAACATGCATTGTGGGGCAGGTCGAACGAACACCAAAGAACTTCCTCTTCAGATTGAGTGAAAAAAAAACTAATTATGTCCGTGTTAAATCGCAGTGAATAAAACGAAAACCTCGATATCAACAAAGTGACTGAAGCTAGAGGTACTTGATTTGATTGATTGATATGTGGGGTTTAACGTCCCAAAACCACTATATGATTATGAGAGACGCCGTAGTGGAGGGCTCCGGAAATTTAGACCACCTGGGGTTCTTTAACGTGCACCCAAATCTGAGCACACGGGCCTACAACATTTCCGCCTCCATCGGAAATGCAGCCGCCGCAGCCGGGATTTGAACCCGCGCTCTGCGGGTCAGCAGCCGAGTACCTTAGCCACTAGACCACCGCGGCGGGGCTAGAGGAACTTGCTTGGAGGTGTGCGGGGCGTTTCTTAGCGAGACTACTTCTGTAAGAAGCATTGTTAAGAAGCGGGCGAATGATGTGTACGTCGGAGGCAGCGTTGTCGGATACGTTCAGCGGCCGGCACGACACGTCAATCGGCACATTAACCACCTGCCCTTTTACAACTTTACCGGCCGCTGCTGTGAGTCAAATGCCTATCGCTCGTAAATGGCAGACGTCGAGCTACCAGGCGTTCTTCAGCG